ACTGACAGTCACAGTGAGGGAAGTCTGAGCAAAAGGAACCTCAAAGCCCACCCCCACAGTGACACACTTCCTCCAACAAGGCTACATCACCTAACAGTGCCATTCCCTTTGGGGGCCATTCTTTGAAACCACCACAACAATGTTTTGTTTCTTTTTCTTTTTCTTTTTTTTGTTGTTGTTTGTTTTTTTGTTTTTTCGAGACAGGGTTTCTCTGTGTAGCTTTGCATCTTTCCTGGAACTCACTCTGTAGCCCAGGCTGGCCTCGAACTCACAGAGATCCGCCTCCCTCTGCCTCCCGAGTGCTGGGATTAAAGGCACGCCACCACGCCCAGCAACAATGTTGTTTTTTTCATATTAAAAGTGCTAAGAAGAGGACATGACGGTGGGAGAAGAATATGCCGTGTGGGGGTTTGGGGGCCAGAGGAGAAATGAGCAAGATATAGTGCATACATGTATGAAATTATTAAAGATTAAGTAAAAATATTCTCATTTAAAAATTCTAGCACATTATTGATATCTTTTAAGATGTTGATGCCAGAAACATCTTTTCAGTGAGGCAGAATTAGCCTCCAGTCCTGGCCTCTCTCCTACATACTACATGCTGGCTGACTCACTTCCTTGAGCCTCAGACCTTTTACTAGGAAAATGGGAGTCATATTACCTGCCACACAGGTTTAATGGGAGGACTGAACGAAAGACTTCAAGAAAGGTTCTTAGCACAGGGGCTGGTACAATATGCTCGTCATTATTAGCATTATCAAAAGAATAATAAAAGCAGCCTCGCCTGACAATTAGATGCATGACAGATGGCAGTTGCATTTATTATTATTATCATTACTATAAAGGAATGCTGGGGTTTTATTGTCATCACTCTGAGGCTGATTGGCAGCAAGCTATTCTCTGGGGATTCAGGGAGGTGTAGCCAGTTCTGGGAAGCACACTCGCCTCCTGGTTTCCTGGAGGTGGATCAGGGATGACTGATTCTTTCTGAACCAGGCCCAGGGAGAGCATACTGGCAGAATGTCATGCCTAGGACAACACCTTAGTGGCATCTCAGGCAGAGTGCAATCCATCACTTGTAGAAGTCATGGCTTGGGATTTCCTTCCTCCCACGTGCCTGAAGGATGAAGAAACACCCCAGGACAGCTTTGGGAACTGCAGGGTGGAGGGGGGTAAGTGCTTAAGGCAGTTTTTTACTTGCAGGAGGGTGTTGTGCAGCTCTGTTGAGACTTCCTGGCCGAGTCTTGGTAACAACCCCTGGAACTTACTCCTCTGAAGGCACGCAGATGATGGCCTGAGGCCTTTAGGGCCTGTTCTTAATCAATAAGACACCCCCTTCTCCCCATCTTCAAAAGCTGGCCTTTAGGGGTATAAACACTTGGGTGTTCGAGGTAAGACCCAGGAGGTGGGCTGGGCCAAGAGTCTCAGGGATTCAGATATTTGGAGCAATGGAACCTATTGGCTCTCTGGCTGTTGACCTCTGGATTCTGATTGTGGCCACTAGTACCCCTTATGTGAGTAGGCCCGAAACCCTGACTACTTGAAGAATATGATAAGAACTGTTTACATTCTGGAGAGTCTGGGAGTCTGGGCCAAGCTGAGCTGGAATTTTGCTATGCCCCTTACATCTGTGTACCCTGGTCAAGTTACAGCTTGTCTCTGAGCCTGGGCATCCTTATCTCCAAAGCATCTTCCTTTCATGCAAATCTTGATATGTGTTTGGATATAGTTCTATCATTTTGACATTTGTTTTCATTCTTCCATTTTCCATTTCTTGCCATCTTTTGAGTCATTTGCATATTTTTCTCTATTGTTTTCCCCTAGGGTTCAGGACCTTGTACTCTATTACTGAGGTAAGCACTCTACTTCTGAGCTACCTAGCCCTGTATTACATTTGTTTGTTTGTTTTTAACTCTTCTGGACTAGATTATGTCATTTAAATTCATAGGCTGGCATGTTAACCTATAGCATGATATTTGGAGATGACACCTTTGGGATGCACGCTGGTTTAGATGAAGTTGACTGTAGGGCCCATGTGATGGGAAGAGGGCCCTTGTAAGATAAGGCATGGGTGGTGGTGAGAGATGTTGCTCCCTCTGCTTCAGCCTTACACACTAAGGGGAAGCCATGTAAGGATATAGGGTAGTAGTCATTCACAGCACAATATGAAAACCCTTATTAACCCCATTTGCTCCTTTATCTTGGATGTTCACCCTCCAGAACTGTGCAAAATGCCCCCAGTCTGTGGTATTTTGTAAGTAGCCTGAGCAGACCAAATAATGTTTTCTCCTTTTTCCATCCTTAGTGGTTACTCTAGAATTGCAATGTTTACCCTTAACATTTCATACTCTGTACATACATTGTACCATTTCTGTATGCATCTTGAAGGTCTTTTTATCTTTGCCCTTTTACATTGTGTTGTCAAATATATTTCATGTACAAACTGTGAAAATCTCAGCTGCCAGGATTAATCAGTTTTTCTTGTAGCTATCATATATACTTTTAAAAGTTTAAGAAGAGATAATAGTCATGTAAGGAATTAGTCGTTTTCCCTGTCTGTTTCCAAGACAATTTATTTCTTTATATTGGCTGTTTCTGATACTTGTAGTCAAGAAAACAACATTTTCATACAAAAGGAATATAAGAAGGACTCTATACATGATTGCAAATTAGACAAAGTTGTATGAAATATACACAACTTAATTGAATGTATTAACTTTTTCTAAGAACTGTATATTCCTATGAAGATGAAAGAATGTAGTTCCATCTGCTCTCAGACTTTGAACCACATTTCTTAGGGTATCCCTAAATAGGGTTCCATGGGAAAAAAGTTGGTGCACGGGAGAATTCAGCAGCTTGAGTGGGGCTTTGGCCTTTTGGTAATGGAAGAATTTGGTAACAGCTTGTGAGAATTTAGGCTGTTGTTCTCCTCTTGAAGTTCTGGAAGAAATGATATTAACATTCATAAGTAGTCTTTGCTGAGAATCTGGGCTGCCTGCTTCCACATCTCCCTCAGTATGTGAAGCCAACTGCAACAAAAAGCAAGCCTCACGTGGCTGGAGGCCCTTCCAATTGTCATGATGAATATGAGGGCTACAGTTCAAAGGACCAAATTGCTTCAGACCAGATGACACCATCAGGGGACAGCTTTGATGATTCCAACCCCTGGAGGACACATTACTCTCTTGGTCCAGGACACATTTTGATTCCAATTCCTTCTTATCTTCCGTTCGGTCTGCCAGCACAGTGCTGGACGCCATGCCAAGCCAATCATTTTAGCCTGGAGGCCAGCCACAAGGAAGGAATTCTGGATAAAACCACTGTTAACACATGGATTGTACCTTGTACAAGTAACTGTATTTAAGTATTGCAAGTTGGCTCTTTGCTACAATATTGAGACCCACGGGCATAGTTATACCAAAACCTTTGCAAAAATCAGGGTGGGCCTAATTCCTCAGCACATATCCAACATTTAAATATAATGACTTAAAGGTCTAAGTATTTACCATGCTATGAGCCCTTAAACTCTAAGAAGAAAGGAGGTATCCCTATGGCATCCGTAGCTAACAGTAAATTTCACACCAACTCTGGAAGACCTACCTCAAGCTACAGGGCTAGTGGCTTCTCAGGATGGTTGGGATGAACTGGAAAACTATTGAGTTGACCTCAATGATGGAGTTCACATCTGTCTTTCTCAATGGGTGGATTTGTACATTCATAGTATGGGAGCAATGGAGCCCTCATCAAAAGTATGTTGTAGTGTATTCCAAAGATCTTCACAAACAAGTGGTACATCAGCACTTCACCCCTTCAATAGCATGGTCTGTTTCAGTCTTCTGAAATAATATTGTGATTTCCCCTTTAGCTGTCTGTATCTCTTTCTAGATGTATATTTTGCATTATTAGAGGTTCTTCCTTTATTTGTGAGATTTTCCAGGTGAATCATTATGTACATATAAATGATTGGTCTATACACGTCGAACTATTTTTGATAACCCAATTTGAATCTGGGTCTTAGGTTCCACTCATATATAAATGGAAGTGTCTGAGAACTTTATGAAATAGCCCTGGTCTCATTCTCATTGTTGATTTCTCTTTAAGTAATGGTATGTTGATGAATGCTATGTTTCTACAGTTTCTGATGCTGTCTTCATCAACTGTGTGGAAGTACTTTTCTTTCTCTGAAAATGGCCTAGAGATGGAAAGGTAGTTTGACATTTGAGGAACCACATTCTTCTGTCTCATGGACCTGTAGATTCCTTCACATGATCAGGATGGCTTTTGGAGCATCTCTGCTGATGGATTGCCTCCAGGAAACCTTAACTACTGGTGGTCTGCCTGCACATGAGCTTGCCACTGGGGAAAATCTTGAGTGAAGAAGATGGAGTTATAGATAACTTTATGGTTGATTTCAATAATAATTTTTCTCCAGTCATATAACAAATTATCACATACTAGACAGCTTAAAATAACACACATTATGTTTCTGTTGGTCAGGAGCATGGATATGTCTAATCTACAAATAGAAACCTAGGTACAGGCCTTACCATACTGTACATGAGGTCTCAGCTAGGCTGTTACCATCTGAAGCTTGAATGTGGAATAACATGCTCATCTAGGTTGTCAACAGAATTCAATCCAGTGTTTTGTTGGGTGTCGGTGGGATGCCATACTCAGGCCCTGGAGGTTGCCCAGAGTCCCTACCATATGGCTTCCAGATAAGCTCTTCACAACATGGCCAATGATTTTATCTTGGCCAGTATGAGTATCTTCTTCACTTACAGACTTTTGTGTAACAAAATGTATCCAATCATCAAGAGAGTAGTATTCCATCTTTTTGCATATTCTAAGCTTCAGTGGGTTCTACTTGAACTCAAGGGGCTTGTACAAAGACCTTGGAATCATATTAGGGTTTCTTTTCTTTTCTTTTTCTCACCTGGACTATGAGAAGATGAATTACTTTGCCCTGACCCTACCATTTACTGGGTATATGGATTTCAGTGAGCCATTTTGCTTTTTCCAATATCATTCATCTGTAAATACCAGCTAATAATTTGCTTCCTGTCCACATTGCAGCTTTTGGGAAGGTTAACTGAGACCATACATGCATAGAAGATATAAAACTAGGAGGTTATGATGTACTAATGACAATAAGCTGGTTCTCCAGATGAGGTCTTATATTGTAAGTAGTTATTGTCCTTGGAATTGAGTAAGTATTGGGTTGCATAGATTTCCTGTCTATCTGTCACAGATGCACTTGAACAACAAAGGACTATGTTTAATTTTATAGAGATATTTATAGCTTAATCAATTATGGTAATTAAATATGCAAAAAGCTTAGCAATTGAACTCTCAAGGGCACTTTTTCTGAATGATTTAAACATCATAAATACAGATTATATAACTTTTGCATAATAAACAACTAGACAGACACTTTTGCCAAACAAATGAAGGGCTGGAGTCATGCCATGAATTAAGTCAAAACAGAAAAATGTCCAGATCTACAGAATGGCTCTGGGACCCCAAAAGAATGAATTCACTACCTTAGGAGCGCCGTTACCTCATTTTTACAAAAGAGGAGCATGAGCTACAGAGTCCCAAGCTGTGTTTCAGATCAAAGACTCCAAAAACCAAAACGACAAGCCACTTCCAGATTGAGGGTTTCTTTTCATATTTATTTATTTATTCATGACTCTGTGTGTGTGTGTGTGTGTGTGTGTGCATGTGGTATGTGTGCACACGTGGAAGTAAGAAGACAATTTTTGGGCAACAGTTTTCTTTCCACTATGTGACTACCAGGGATAGAACTCAAGTTGTAAGCCTTGGTGACAAGCATCTTTATCCACTGAACCATCTTGTTGGACTCTCCTCACATTCTTCTTCTTCTTCTTCTTCTTCTTCTTCTTCTTCTTCTTCTTCTTCTTCTTCTTCTTCTTCTTCTTCTTCTTCTTCTGAGGATTTTTGGTATAATAAGTAAGCTTAACTACTACATGCCCCCCTCACGAGAGTCCTGTTTCCATGGCAACCTGTGCTAAAGGTTCTGTGTGTGGTGGGTGCTTTGGATGCAGCCATTCCCCTTCTGAATGACAAGTATTTTGTGAGGTGTGGGTTATAGCTGAGGTCCAGGCTCAAGAATTATCCTCAGCTAGGAGAGCTCCCTGGCTCAAAGCCACTGCCTCTTCCAGGAGGAGCTTATGCACAGAGACAGGTGAGTATAGGTGTCAGAAAGTAAGAGTACAGATACTTGTCTCCTTGTGCTCCATTTAGCTCAGCTCCAGAGTTTCCTAAGGGTGGGATATGCACTCCTTCGAAACCATCTCACATTTAAGTGCTTTCTCCTGCCTAGCCTTGTTTGGTCCTTTTTTTGCAGGTGCTGATCCTGAAGATGCTCCCAGACAGTCACCATCTTGGTGTCTACTTCCCAGGAATTGTGAGCTAAGAACCGTCTTTAAGTTGGCTTCGTGATCAAACAATACCTCACCAGGCAACAAGTAGGTTAAATAATGGAACATCAAGCTTGGTTAAGGCACTAGCTCAGGAACATCATCAATGTTCCAGGAGGCATTCTACTTTTTACTATTATCACTAGAAAGAAAAAAAAAAAGGAGTATGTAAACTGATGGCTCCAAAGATAGCTTGATAACCCTGATTTTTTTCTTCTTGAAACTTTTTAAATTAAAAATTTATTAAAATGGTTCATGATGGCATAGGCCCATAAACCCAGCAATAAAGAAGAAAAGGCAGGAAGATCATTGTTAGGGGCCATGGGTCATTCAGAGATTTACCAGTCTGACCATTACTCTGACCATTAATAAATATTAACAAAGAAGAGGCCTTTATTCATTCATATACTGGCACCAGGTCACACCTGGCACTTGCCATTCCCAAACACAGTGACCAGCTGCCTCAGTCAGGGGTTTACCAAGGCAAGGAACACAAAGTTACATTCTGTCTATGTGCAAGCAGAAGGTCATCCTGTGCAAAGCAAGCTTTTGTTTACAGAAGTAGAACTAGCAGTTTTCTTAGAGTTGAACAAGACCAGGCAATAACAAAAATTAACCCTTAGCAGCCTTTAACATTTGGAAGTTCATCCATCTTTCTTTCTTTCTTTCTTTCTTTCTTTCTTTCTTTCTTTCTTTCTTTCTTTCTTTCTTTCTTTCTTTCTTTCTTTCTTTCTTTCTTCTTTC